CAAAGGTAAAGTTTGACCTGATGATGACCCAAGATGAAAAATCAGGGGACCACCAAAGCTATTTTAATTCATCCTGAGGTGAACATGAATGTCTAAACCAAATTTCAAGACAATCCATAAAACAGTTGTCGAGATATTTTACTCACAACCACAAAAATCAACCTCACGGTGGCGCAAGCGGGAAAGTCAGGAGATGACCAAAGTCGTTAGGGTTAATATTCTAGTAACCACGAATATCTTTGCAAAATAGTTAAAAATAAGCCTCATTGTCAGGATCATTGTCCGTGTTAACGTTGGAGACGGAGCTTCATCCTCCTCCCCGGCTGAATACAAGACGACACGACCGCCTCATCTGGATCGCCTCCTGCTTGTTATCACTTCAGTTTCAACCACTCACAGCTAACGGCGTACCGGGGGCCGAGCCGGTCACGCCAGACGCGTCCATGTTCCCCGCAGGCGACAGCGAGAGTCGGGCAGAACTCAAAGTTTAGAGTAACAAGCTGCACGTTGGCAGGATCGCAGGGCTGTGGACGTGTGAGTGAGCGAGGCAGAAGATAAGGCCTGTTCACAGGGGACGCGCATTATGTGATGGATGTCGAGTACTTAATGAATAAACCTTTACACCTTTGTGTTTCTTGAAATGACTGATTCTACTGCTGCTACAGAGAGAACAGGAGACAGAAATCAAACCTTTACAAGATAAAGAAGACAAAGCAGGAAATGAAGATGAAGAAGAAAAGATAAATTACACGACTAAAACAAATTACATCTCCAATTAAAGGGCATTACATCTGTAGACTTCTGCTTCCCACAAAATATTATTATTTTGAAAATGTTACTGACGATCACTGAAACTGCCTCTAACAAAGAAGTTCTGGTCTTTGCTTTAGGCCAGAAACTAAAGATCCTTTTCATAACTGATTAACAGGAAGATTATTTTCTCTATTAAGCGATTTGTTGTTTGGTCTGTAAATTGTCAGAATATGTCCACCACATTTTCCCAAAGTGTTTGGTTAATTATAACTGAGGACAAATAATCAGCAAAATCCAATTAATTATCTGTCGATCGACTAACCTTTAAATCGACTTTCAGGTCTGTAGCAAAGACCTGTTAGCAGATTCCTGAGGTCTGGGTCCAGACTACTACTGCCCTTACTTATCTTTACAAAATCTGGCACATGTACTTCATGACAGTCCGTCACCAAAGTAGATCTGGATGTGATCCATTTTCTATAGATAGAAAATGATAGATAGATGAGTATATCATTATTAGGACAGAGGGGGGTGGAGGGCGTTTGGGGCCCTGTGTTGTTTGGGGTCAGCCGTGTTTGCAAGTCTCTGCCTTTGTTCAAATCTCATCAAGTGTGAAAAACGGGGGCAGGCCTGAGGCCGTCCGCATCATCTCTCGGCTCCACCAGATCATCCGACAGGAGAAGCAAACATCTGAACGCCACTAAAGGAAACATTAACCTTTGTGTCGAATTTTGGCAGCTCTCACTCACAGGAACAGGACGTCGCAACCGATACAAACAAACCGAGTTATGATGCAAGACGCAATTTACACCTTTTACAGGAGGAGCCCAGAGAGAAAAAATAAGCATCATTTCCTGCCGAGATCAACAACTTAACAAGCAGTTAACGATGACGTCTTCGCATCCCTGAAGAGCTCAGTGTCAGACCGTTATGACACATACATGCTCAGGAATAGTGAGAGAAATGAGCCCAGGATCTTATTATTCTGTGTGGGTGTTATAAATTTATTAAACTGTTGTCAATTAACAAAAACACAAACCAAAAATAGGCCTTTAGCAGCGTTAGAAAAGGATTTAATTCAAATTTTCTATTATTATATTTATTTTGATGAGGAAAAAGGACCATTTTCTTTTTAACTTAATTTCACTCACACATATTTATAGAAAAAAAGAGTTTTATCATAATTGTTTTGAATGTTGTGCCTCAGATTTGTGAAGTGATCCACAATTTGGCAAGTGTTAAAGTGCATAAAGAAGAGTTTAACCACCCAATTAACCATCTGGTTTCTTCAACTTTCACTCAGGAGAAAAAAACAGCATTTAAGCTTACGTTGTTATTATTATTACTATATCGTCATAATTAACATTATCGAATTATATGAAATGTTTTATCGCGATAACATTTTTGACCCAGCCCTACAACATATGTCAGATTTATTTTGCTATATTTGTTATACACAAAAAAAGGGTTTTGTAGGGAAAAATGTTTTATATTAATCAATATGAGGTTACCAACACTATGTTTTATATATTTGCACTGGTATCAAAAACTTTAAAAATCTAGCATACAAGGCAGGCCTGATAAGCTTCCAATCCTGCCTTTATTTGTTATGCAAATCCCTGTATATGTTATTTCACTCCCAAACTCCTAATTTGGCGTAGTGCATCCAAAATGTGCCGTGTCCCCAAAACTCCAACCAGCTCAGATTTTGGGATGCTATTGGGAACTTTCTTAATTGTTCATTAAGAAGTTTGCACCTAATGATGATTTTCATTATCGATTCATCGGCCTCTGGTATTATTTTGTTTCCACAGAAGAACATCCTTAGCACTGGAGATCAAAATGGTGTCCAAACCAGAGACAAAATATGGAACCAAAACCAAAATCCACCCCCACAAACCATGACAGCAACAAACTGAAAGCAGAACCGCTGTATTCAAGGCAATCTGACCTCATTTAGACTAATGACCGGCAACAGATGGCCCAGGTTCACATTTCATAGTTAAGACGGTGACTAGATGATGTTTGGCTCCAAAGAACTCAAAACAGGATCTGTAATATGAGCTTAAAACACTGCGAGACCTCCAGCGATTTCAGCATTAGTGGTCACTCATCAATCAGCTCTTTTGCACAAATTGTGATTGATTATTTGATTAAACAAATGAGTCTGCTCACGTATTTTCTTACTCTGACGTATGCACTATACGCCATGCAAAGCAACGGACATGCATCATTATTCAACAGCAAAGTAACCGTGGAGGAGATTCAAGTTGCCAATATGGCCTGGACTTCGTCGTTGGTCCATCGATTAATTTACTCTCTGTAAGTTCTTCTGTTGATGTGTCAAGCTCAATATACTCCTGTACAAACTCCTTTACTACGTATATGCTGAGGATGACCGCAGACTCAACCAATCAGAAATGTTCAGCACTGCAAGCCCCGCCCCCCCCGATGAAGGGACTTCTTTGGGGGTAAAATAAAGTCCCCATAACTTTATTTAGACCATGCGGTGGAAAAGCACTGAAGTCTTCAGAAGGTTCCTGCAGTGGAAACGCAGCTAATGCTGTGATCATAACTTGTTTCCGCTGCAGTAATTGCAGGTTTAAAGTGGGGAAGTGTTTACCAAATGTTCTCTGACTTTGTTATTGCTGGATTTTTGTTGATAGTGCAACTGTGGTGACTGCTGGCTTATCGTGATCAAGGACAACAGGTTACAGTTTAACTTTAAACAGTCCTGCTCAAAGTCAAATATAACCTCTTCTAGTGGCTTTTAACTGGTTCATTAACTCTTAAAAGTGCAACAGTCCTTTAAACAGAAGAAATCCTTTTCACTTTCTGTCACACACAAACAGAAATGAAGCAGAAGGGACACGCCGGCAGCAACACCAAACCAAGTTAATAATCCTATAACATTCCTACAGATAATGGCACTATTTTTCTATTTCCTATTTTAGCATCACTTTAATTCACCTATGACATTCCTATCCTGGGTTCACATGCTGGTGGGAAAGTCCGACATCAGGCACTTCCTGAATGGCAGCACAACAGTGCTGCAGTCACTGTGGACACAAATAATAAACCTGGTAGTCCAGAAGGAAAATATTAACTACTTACGCTGCTTTAGTACAAAACACAAACTAAAAATTCATATTATGTTTTTGGATACATGGGCACAATGTGCTCAGTCCTCAGTTGCCATATTTAGAGACCTGGTGTAACTTTATTATCCAACTATGACTGGAATAATAATTATTTAAATAATTCCCATGTGTGAAAGCAAAGGCAGGGTGTTTCTTAACTCAAATCATACTTGTTGGCCTTTTATAAATCTTGTTTTATGAGGAACTATGATTAAACTCTCTGGTTTGAGCAGAGTAATTTCACTTTCACATTCAATATTTCAGCAGGCTTTTCTTTGCCACCTCTTGCACTGAGGAAAGACCACAAAGGGTGACGATGGAAGCCCCCCTTCCCTCTTTCCCCTCCCACCATGCACCCGGCCTCGCCCCTCTCCTCTCCGCCCTCGTTTAGGGATGCAGGGGCTCATCAGTATCTCTGGACCAGGCCCGTTTACCTCTCCTGAAGCCTCTCTCTCTCTCTCTCACACACACACACACACACACACACACACCGCTGCATCGCATTACATAAAAGCCCGAAATTGCTTCCAGCTGGCTGCGACTAAACCTGGTCCCGACAAAGAGGACAAACTGAGAAGAAACAAAGCGCTCCGCTTGCACAATTATTTGTCCAGTGCGCACACGGTGTTGCACAGCAGCGCACATTGCCCCGACTCTGCAGTGCAGTTCAGACTCGAAAACCTGCTGCTCTGTTTCATAACCCCCCCCCCAAAAAAGAACCAAACTATCACTTTCACCGCTTTGAAGCTTCCTCCAGCTCATAGAAGCTTAATGCGCTTAATTACGAAAAGGCAAAGCTGCGCTGAGAATTTCAGCTGGAGATAAACTCGTGTGTCTTGGCCGCATGTGCAGCAGTGATGGATCTGCTGAGACTTTAATGCCCGGCCTGTATTTCTGTAGTTTACACCAGTCCGGGTATGATGCTGCTGCTGCTGCTGCTGCTGCACGGTGCGCTCCTGTCCTGCCCTGCGCATCCTCAGCGCGCACCAACTCGGACAACAAAACCCAGAGGGGAAAAGCAGGAGAGGAGCAACGCAACGAAACAACGGGGGAAGAAGAGAGAGAAGGGGGAGGAGGAGAGAAGAGATGGCCGGCCGAAGGACTCACCAGTCGGTGTCCGAGGTCTCGTCAATGACGTCCTGGTAGGCGGTCAGCAGGGCCAGTCTGTTCTTGCCGAGATTCACAGCCATGTTTCTGTCCCTGCAAGCATCCAGACCGCTGCTGATGGAGAGAGACACGGAATGAGAGTACAGGGAGGACAGAGGGGAGGAGGAGAAGGAGGAGGAGGAGGAGGCTCTGACTGGTGGAGACAAAGAGACGATCCCGGTGTCCAAGCGGTCCTAGCGCCGGAAAGTTGCCGGAGCTTCTTCTATACCTGCACAATGACAGCATGTGGAGGCAGATAAATGTAAAATCACAATATCACAAACACAAACAAAGTTTTTGGGTGAAATATTTTGTGACTGATTAAAATTAAAAAATAGTATTTTGAATGAAGCAGTTCATTGAAGGACATTCTTATTTTCCTTATAATTATTACAAAAGTAAAGGAGACTTGCAAGGAAATTATTCTAAAATAAACTTTATTCACCTTTTACCAACGGCGGCGCGTCTGATCAGCTGCAGTCACAGATTAACACAGACTAGACATCATTCTGACACCACTGTAATTCCTTTTTATTAGTTAACTATAATGGTCATTACTGAAATGTAGATGATTTAGGGAACATACTTTGATGACACGGTGAGGTTTGACAGATGACTGAGTAATGATGCCCACACACTGTGGTGGGAACGCCACAGCGACTTCATCATGTGGAAATTCATTTGATTTATTATTGGATGCTGTGAGGAGAAAAATCATCAAATCAGCTGTAGCTAATAAAACAGACTTTGTGTGCAAAGTCCTTTTAGGCTCTTAAAACGTCTCTGGCTTGACTCAGCATTTTACTTTACATTACATTCATTTAGCTGACGCTTTTATCCAAAGCTTCTTACATTAGCTGTTTACGTCAGAGGTTGCACGCCTCTGGAGCAACTAGGGGTTAAGTGTCTTGCTCAGGGACACATTGGTGGATGTCTCACAGTGGGAATCAAAACCCTGGTCTCCCACACACCCCACACTTTCCCCCATTTTAGATGTCTGACACACACCATGAACAGTATGCAACAGATAACATCTGATATAAGGGAAGGAGAGATGAGCAGGGAAACTAAATGTTTTTTTAAATGATACAGTATTAAGACACAGACTGCAGCAAAGGTTTATCCCACATTTGACATTATGATCAGATGCCAAGGTCCAGGTAATGGTTGCTGACACTCTGAATTGGTCTAGTGTTAGTGTGCTTTACAAACATAAAAGCAACATAGGGAAATAAAAACAGACAAATACTATTTTTTTTAAATAAAACAGATGACACTAAAAGATACAGTGCAGTATAATACATTAATCAACAACCTTCAATTTGATTTAATTAAGAAGTAAGTCAGTAAAAATACACATGTACAATTAAAGCAATCCGATACAACAGATCTTCCAAACATATGAAGATTACAGCGTTCAGTTTTTAATGTGTTAATTCAACTAAATGTTTGTATATTGAGGTTCGTGGTGGTGTTGTACAGAACTATCTTACACTGAAATATTCTTCCCACCTCATGTTTGTAAACGTGGTTGGACAAAACATTTGGCTATATCTCAACATAATGCAATCCACTTCAACACCACTAGAAATTACAACCTCAGTAATAAACAGAGTTAAATTAACACTTCCCTGACAGCGTCTATCAAAACTGAACATTATTAAAAGCAGAATCTATGGCTGAGCTGTTGTACTTGATTGTATTAACTTGTGCAGTTGTGTTTCATTAAAGTCCTTGAAATGGGAAAAAAGGGATCATGTGACAAAAAAAATTAGTTTATTTGTTGTTAATAAAATCAATATGAATTAACGGGAATGTCCCAAACACCGTTGTCGTGTCACTCTTGTGATGTTAGCATCAAGTTTAACTTAGTGAGACTACCATTTCATAACAGATTATTTCCAGAATTGTGCAAAAATACCAGCAACTTAGCCCTTTCAGCTAGCAGGTAGCTTTACGTTTAGCTAAACTTAAGCTATGTTAGCTTAAGCTAATGTTTTTTTAAGCTAATGCTTTAGCATTGGCTAACAATCATCTTTGCACAATTTAGTGGCATTGAGAAGGGACAAAATATTATGTGTTTGTTTGACGCTGATTAACTAAAACATACATTGTCTGCCTGTCAAGCTACTTAAGTTAACTTTTATGTCCCAGTTTTTTTAGCATCTTTCCACTAGCTTTGATAATGCGTTTTTGGGTTTCTTTTATGTTTTTCAAAACAATTTTACATGTTCCTGGAGATTTATTATGTCCATAATATAAACTCAACAATGGTACTTGATAGCAAAATCTGATCAGGTTGTCAGGTAACCAAAGATAATCTATTAGCCTATTTGGTTAAAATCTAAAACTTTAGCTTCAAGTAGCTCTAAAATTAATGTCCCCAGAACAGAAACAATGGGAAAACATCCTATGTTTACAAATAGGGAACGTGAGGAAATCACCACATCTCCAGCATGTATCTATATGTTCCAGTCCCAAGGGCCTGGTATTGTGGATCTGGCTCTTTTTTTTCTGGCATTTTGGGGATTAATGTCTTCTCTCTCCACATGATGAAAATATATCCAAAGAAATACATGCAATTTTCCTCTTCCTCCTTAAATGTAGTGCATAGATACTAGAGCTTTAACTGATAAGTAAGACAAAGCGTGCACACTGATTCATGCAGGAAATAATTTCAATGTGTTTCTTCAGGATGCTTAATGTCAAAAGCAGATCACACACAGGTGGCAAAACATGAGCGCTGAACTGATTAGTCAACGAGATGCATCTGGTGCAATTAACAATGACAACAAGAGGATCTCAGCTTTGCACTCAAAGTTTCTTTTCCCCATATTCCTAAATACAACTTGACTAGTATTTTAGTCCCTTAGAACAAATTATGACTTTCTCGTGACTAATCATTGAGAGAATACTTAAGACAGAGGCACGACGTCTTAAAACTTAGATCAACTGATGCAATTCATCACTGGCAGAGACACAAGTCAGCAGTGTGTACTTTGGTGTCTTTTTGCTTGTGAACTCTCATTAATATTCAAATGAATCCCTTCTGGATGTTAAATTCCACTGCAACATACTGTTTCACAGGACAGACAAAGGAAAGACAATGATTACAATCTCAGAACAACTAAATAGGAACTCCTTTTTGTGTGTTCATCGATACGTTAATTTATGTCATTTCCACATTCTTAGACGCACCTTCTGGACATAATCTATAGTTTCTCTGATGTCTGGGATTCCCTCAGCTGTAACTGCACCCTGACCCTGAACATTTTGGACACTGCATTTTGTTAGTAGCCAACAGGAACTGAGAGCAGCGCCTCCTCTGAACACAGACAGATAGGTTCATTTTTCATTTTCACTGGGGACACTGGGGAAAGGTCAGAATCAGAATATCTCCATAACTTTTAGAAAGCTTTTGTTAAAAATGTTCTGAAAAACAGCAACAAGAAATGTTGAGTAACAAGTTAAAAAATGCACAATAGGAAAACATGCAATGCAACTGAAATATAGAAGAAACAAAAGTGCATTGTCCAAAAGCTGATTACTGCATTATATTCCATTATATTTTTATATTTTGAATTGTCACCTGCCACCTTAATTTTGTTTCCCTTTGTATAAATAAAGACATTTCCTCCATAAATTGGTCCAGTGTTCAGAATGCAAGATATTAAGTGGTTCACTTGACAAAATTGTCAGCCCTGTTAAAATGAAAGTTAACGTGAATTACAGATGCACCTAGCTAAGCAAGCTAGCTAGCTCCACAAACGGCCATTAGCTCCACCGTATTATCCACACATATATGTATATATATATATATATATATATATATATATATATATATATTAGTGTCAATTCCAGACACTTCCTGGTTGCAAAAACTCAACATGGCGGCGCCCTATCGACCAAGCTCGAGGCATCAAAACGGCAGTCCCTAACAGGTGACGTCCACTTCTTACAGTCTATGGTTCTTGCTCACCCCTAATTGTGTTTAGCCAGTCATAGAGATGGTTTCAGTTTTATGTGCCACGTTTTTGACACATCCACCTCCTGAAACAGTTTTCCTCTAAACTAATTTCTGCCTGAGTAACTGCAATATTTTTTACTGGAATATCACAATGCTTATTTAATGTTTAATGCACTTCAGTTGTGTTAGGGTGGAAGCAGATTTTGCAAACATGATAGCTCAACATCAGGACACGACTAGATGCCGCTAGTACATTCTGTAATTTGCATGAATTGTGACTGAGGCCATGCACTGAACAGCAGTTTGGAGTATCCAGCCTTCCTGGAGTGTCTGGTTGGGGTCCTGGAAAGAATACTGCCTAGAGATTATATAGTTCTGCTGTGGGACTTGGACCGGGGGGGTTGATCACTTTCACTTCTAGCCTAGTTTGAGACTTCTGAAACACCACCCACATTTCCACTTGTTTTATGGGTCAAATGTCTTCAGTGCTCATGACTGACAATGTCTGATTGTTGGAGGAATAATCGACCAAAAAGGTCCTTATAAGATGAATTCAGAATGGGGTCATCTTCTCTAATACTAAGCTTGCTTATCGAGCACAATGGCCACAAAAGCTGCGACATTGTGGATGAACTTGAAGCAGCGTTTGTTGTAAGTCGACTTACAGATATAACTCCTAAATCAAACAGCAGGCAGACTCTCCTCGGCTTCTCTGGGAGCAGAAGTTGTCTGTCAGTCTCCCTGCAGCCTTTCAGAGAGCAGTAGCTCCACACTGGGGGAGATTTGTCCTCAGAGAGGAGAAGGACGTCTGCAGCATGTAGATTCTGGCTACAGCTTGTTGTTCCTGCAAGACAGACAAGCAGCTAATTAGGATCTAGTTCCTGGAGCAGCTACAGGCTGACTCCACTGCACTGAAATAAGGTCTTCATCGTGTCCAAGAAAGCACTGAGTTCCCAGCAAGTGCTTTCACTGAACATCAGCATTAATGAGCGCAGAAATTCACAGATATTGTCTTTAAGAGTGTACACGATTTTTTATATATGTGTATGTGACAAAGTAAAAGTCTGTAGCCATCTTTATTCCTCATCACATAGTAGGAAATGATTGATGTACGGATCAAAAATGGAGAGA